GAATAGTAGTATAAATGAACAATTTACGCCGTAGTCGATTTCAATATTAATCATCATTTTTATTTGCTGTCTTCCTTGAGTGTGAAATTAGTTGCGTTCCAGATTATAAAGTAACGGTTACTATTACTTCTAGCGTAAGCGGAATAATGGATAATTCTACTTCTAAACAGTTCATAAGCTGGTCTATAGCCGGATGATAAACTATCTGCTTGTCACGGTGTAAATACACCTTGAATAGTAGTATAAATGAACAATTTACGCCGCAGTCGATTTTAATATTAAAATCATCATTTTTATTTGCTGTCTTCCTTGAGTGTGAAATTAGTTGCGTTCCAGATTATAAAGTAACGGTTACTATTACTTCTAGCGTAAGCGGAATAATGGATAATTCTACTTCTAAACAGTACATAAGCTGGTCTATAGCCGGATGATAAACTATCTGCTTGTCACGGTGCAAATACACCTTGAATAGTAGTATAAATGAACAATTTACGTCGTAGTCGATTTCAATACTAATCATCATTTTTATATGCTGTCTTCTTTGAGAGTGAAATCAGTTGTGTTCTGCAGTAGTTGAATGTTACGTCTATACAAAGTTAGAAAGCAATCGCTACCATTATTTCTAGCATAAGTGGAATAATGGATACTTGTACTTCTAGACAGTAGAGTGTATAAGCTCTGATAATCAACTATCTGCTATAGAATAATCAATTTCTACTTCACGAGACCTAATGGCCATGGCTGCTTGTCTGTCAGGAATGGAGTAGAATCCATGTTGATCGACTAGCAGTTATCCCATTGCATTGCATATCCAGTATAGGTCGATAACTCCTGATTGGACCCCTAACCAATCCAGTGGACACGATGTCCATTAGATAGACATGGTGGTATGGGGTGCCATCGATTGATACTGATGATAGGGACTGCTTCAGTCAGTCCATAGATGCTATACGAATCTCTGTAAAATAAATCGGAAAATTCCAGCGGATACTACCACCTACAACTGCAGGCTAGATGAGCTCATTTCCATACTCTATCCTATAACTTAGCTCCGCCATCGATCAGTCCTGATTGAAAAAGAAAGCGACGAAAAGCACCATCTTGCCCTTTTAAAGCCCTATCGGCCTCCATTTTATCATTATTAGGTTAGTTTAAGTATGCCTTGATCGTTGAAAATGATCGATACAGTACCAAGAAGTGTAGAACCAGTAGATCTCAGTAGAAGGTTAATCCATTGGGTTACCTTTCGCTTTTGGATATTCCACCATCGTAAGGGATTGGCAAGCGAAATGAGTTTGATTATCCCACTAGGCATTCCTTGCAGTTGGCGATGGAGTGTCCTACCGTCTTGATTTGTTGCTTTTTATTCTTGATGGTTTTTCATTCTTCTTCAATATTTGATCCAATTCCATCTTGAATTATCACAGCTTGTTGATGAGAAGAAATATCGTCGTTGTATTGTATCAATCAATGGAAGGATAGACGCAGTAGTGGGTATCATCCCGTTGAGAAGGATTCAAAGTTTGCTCGTTTGTAGCCACTCCTCTCAAATTCTGATCAATGAATTCGTCATCATCAAAGCCATCGTCAAGCCTATTTTCCACTTAAAAAGTATAGTAGACTATTGTTGTAGAGGAGTTGATCTATGAGACTGATATCATGGTAGAATGGGAGTCTAATGCTGTTTAGGATCCAATCCTGGTTGCACCAAAGTTGTTGATATGATTGAATTGATTTCGACATCGATGGCACAAATACCAGCTTGATTATTCCCTTAACCTTTTCATCATATATAATCATGGATGGATTAATTCCATGAAACAAGAAACTCAGAATATCTTGCGATTGTACGATACCACTTGTCCATTCTTGTTGGATAAAGTGGAATAGCAACGGTGATAGTAGAGCCAAGCAATCAATCATTCCTATCGCGCTACCAGGAATTAGCATGACGATTCCCTATCATGACCAATCGTGCCATTCAATCCATATCAGATACACGCCAACAGGAGAAACTTCAAGATGAATCTTGTCATTTGATTAGGGTTAGGGTTAGGGTTATTTGATTTCCAAACGGAAATATAATATTAGTAGTTAGAAATAGCATGAAGGAAACAATTTCTTCTAGCAGTGACGAAATTCATAAATAATTACAATCGCCTTATTCATTCTCCTCAATGGGTAATCATTTTCTTCCAACTGATTTACTGTAGGCGATAGTAGGATCAGCAGTGATTTTGCTCTAGATAGTAAAAACTTACGAAAATGAAGATGGTAAACATTAGTTTCATTCCTGCTTATATGCGTTTATCTGTTGTCTTATTTTTATCGTTGATATCGTCGATTTGGTTAATCCTTTTAATGACGTACTACAACAAAATTTTCTTACTTTACTATCGACTTGAAGGATCATTTACTGCCTTTGTCGATGCTAGCTAATTGCTCTACACGATCATTTAGACGTGCCTAGCAAGTAAAATCTTCCCCCTGTGAGCAACATGCGTATTCCTTCTACGATTTATTTTTGACTTCTTTTCCCTTACAATATCGTTCATCTCGCTGATATTAAAATATCCCATGTTTTACTAGAAAGAAATTAACATCATTTTGACATTGCTTTCTTGTTATAACGACAGCAGTGCTACACTGTTGCATCAGTCTTCCTTTGTGCTTGGCAATAGAATCCAAGTGAAAGGATAGTTAATACAACACCAAATGACGTATTATTCATTAGACCATAGAATTTACCCTAGTAGTTGTTATGGATAGGCAAAAATCAATCGCTGTCCTCACTAAATTTGCTACAATTCAAATCATCAATGTATCGTAATTATATAGAGATTCATGTTGAAGGCCTTATTCGCTTTAGAATACTAAATCACCGATTCCGTTATATGCTGTAGATGGTTTAAAAGCAAACTATGAAGTAGATAGTTGTACTTTAGACAGAAGATTGGAACTGTTATGAGATAGAAATGGTATATCAATTTATTTGGTGTTTATTGCTAAAGATTTTGGAGAATTTTTTTACTTTCCTGACAACATTGCAAGAACTTTGTATCTATCCTTCGACAGTATTGTGCATGTCTACCCCTGTCCACAATGAACTTACAGCAAAAATACTTGCTAATTGCAAGCTAATCGACTACCCTATGCGTAATCATATAATTATACTTGATAAACTTATGAACCTGTATAGGAATGCTTATTGTCTTCTAAACTCAGTTGCATTTCTACCTTAATTATACGTATTCTAAATGACCTACTACGACAAGCCAGATCGTAATGATCTTACTGCATATCATTAATACTGGCATGGATAGATTGAAATGATGGATAAAGCTAAGCTATTGCATAAAGTAATCTATCATCAACATTGTCATATCTATTCTATATAATTGCTTTGCAATACATAAATCTTGCCTATCCATACTACGAGTATAAGCTCAAACAATTGACGATCTACGGTATTTTATTCATTTTTATACTTTGCTTTGCAACATACGTATATATTATACATATTAGCCGAGATAGGGTTTTAGCCGTATCATATCCGCTATCTATCTTAGCTATTAGCTCATGTAACCTACTATTTGTATCTTGTCTATTTCATAAATTTTGAATGTGACCTAAACATTATGTGTCTTGTACTATTTGCTCAATTGATTATCAAAAGTATCTTATGTATTTCATATTTGCTTTACAACATATCAATACGTACAGTGTTATCCATCTTAAATGTGCTATTATATTATCTCTAGTAATAGACTGTCTCAAATGCCCTACGTGATCTAGAATTTGCTCTATAATGCATGAACAATATCCATTGCTTGTCGGATCCTAAAATCTTTATTTGGTAGACTTTCTGCTGTATTGAAAATAATGTAAAAGACTTTTTATAGACGCGTATATGGCCAATACAGTATAGACTCGTATGCATGATCGTCCAAACCCCTGTAACTCAATTTTTACTGTTTGTCAATTAATTTATATGTAGTCTCATTACGCCAGTTTACATCCAAATGCTTCCTGTCTTACAAATCAGTCTGCATAAACTACTTAATGTATATTCTTCCTAGTTTACTCTCCAGCTATCGTACTCTATCGCTAATATAAGATGGATTGCCTGATATCGCCATTTTGATTTCCTGCAATAGGTTAATATCGAGTACAATGTCTATTTTCCTAATTTATTTTGCGACATGTCAATACTATCTGTCTTTGATTGGCCGCCTTCTATTTTAAATGACAATTAATAATGGGCATGGTCGATGTCTAATTAGAATTCTAACGTTATACCCATGGGATGCTTGTCTTACTGATTCTGCAATTAACATCTTTCTTGTTGTAAGGTGGTATCCTGGCTTCGCTTAATCACCTTAAACAGTTTAAATTTACATTTTTACCGTAATAAGTCAGTTCTACACCATATAGTAGATATGGTCGTACAGATGAAGTTATAAGCTTTCCTTTCATCGATAATATCATTGTTCTATAAATGGATATAATATTAATAGCATCTACCTATGCCATAGCCCAATCATACCGTATGCCAATACTAAATAGATTTGAAATGTTTTTTATATAGTAAACTGTTCAGTTTTTTACGGTACATGTAAAAGTCCAATATAAACTGTAGCCGATTGTTCTCTCAGTGCTCTCTTTATATGACTATAGGGATATTAAGAGAGAGAGAGAGAGGGTGAAAAATGAACTCTGAAAACAAATAATAAGTGATTTTAGTGACGTAGAAGAGTAACGTAATCACCATCGCTTTTCTATCCTATTGGACTCTTCCTTTCTCCACTAGTCTATAGTATTATCATCATTGGATCATTATTAACTTTGACTGTAGTTCATAATTTCCATTCTTATTACAATTGGCTCAAGATGTTGTCTTTATTGCAGTTGATTCGCAAGACTTTTGTAGGCTGCACGCCTCTTTCGCCAACATGTTTGCTCCAATAGTAAAGTATCTTCTGTCGGTCATTAACGGTATCATGAAATCGATTTATCGTTGGCTAACTGGAACGTGTGAACTGCAACGAATTTGCAAAAGTTGCAATGAAACTGGTGATAGGACTACGGCTGTGGAAAAATCCCTTGGCACTTCCAAGACTGAGGTAAATCGACAAACGTCACGTAGTGTCAATTTAAACTCAACTTGGAAATAGCGATACTTACCTCGAACTAGTTTATCAAAATTTCAATTCTATTTATATCAATATTTGTAGACGTTTTAACCTTTTCCATGTGAATTTACTGCATGAAAAAATTGTGTGTATCATTACAAAGTCATCAACAAGACATATTAATTAGACACCATGCTATCTCTTAATCCAATAGAGTTTAAGAAAGATTACAACATCATTAGGGATCAATGTAAACGATGCTGTTCAACACATTGCCGTTGTTAAGAAAATTAATCATGAATCATCCATTAATAGCGAGTAAGTTAAACAGCCTAAAGGATAGCTTTCAACTGGGTAGATTATTCTTCTTAGTCTTATTGCATATAGTTTAGCGCCGTTAACATTATACTTGTTTGAAGTAATGCCGTATGTGATCATCGTCATGGCGGCTGATTTTTTCCCCCTTGTAATCGATTGTATCAAATTGATGCATCAATCAGGTTATTTTTCCTCTTTGCGATACAATATCAATTCAATTTTTGCTTTGATAGATTTATTTGCAGTTTAAGCAAGTGCTTGGTCCAAATATGTACTTATTCGCAATTAAAAGATCATGTCGAAACTATCAGAAGTACGACTTACGATTCCAATAATAAACAACATGAAACAATGTTAATGAAGGTAAAACGCGACACAATTGTTTATCCATGGATGAAATATCTACAAACGTACTATGAATATCCTTGTTGAACGTTTTGTTTGCCCTTAGAATATATTTCTACTTTATCTATAAATCTTAAGATGACTGTCTTTTTTACTTAATGATAAGATAATTATATCTATCGGAAAGACTGTGGTGGATATTTATCAGCTAAAGTCTTGATTTTATTCTTTAGCTATGGGATTTATTATGCCCGGATAATCAGCTTGAACAACGAATTAGTCCGCAATGGACAGAAATTGGATTCCAGGGGTCTAACCCTGAGACTGATTTCAGGGGAATGGGTACAAATTCTTGTTTTTATTCCCAGCGTAATTTTGATAATAGTTAGTACATCATGATATTTACGCAATGCTTTTCTAATGTATATTTAGGGCTGTTAGGCTTAGAACAACTTGTGTAAGTAATGATCTACCAAATTACTAATTTTTTTATAATGTTAACCTTCCTAGTAGTATAACTTGTCCCTGATTTTCTGTTATTATGTACATATGAAGCGAAGTAGATACCGTTTTAAACTATTGATATCTGCAACGATACTATTTTTTCTACTATGTTGCATTGAAGCCCACTATTTAATCGTTAGCTAGTTATCGTTGTAAAATGTAAACTATGAAAAAAGTAGATGCAATTTTAAGCTATTGACTATTCCGGAGAGACCTATTCTACCATTATGCGTTCAAGACCACTTTTGATGTAATGTGATTACTTTATTTTTGTTCTAAATCTATACAAAGATGGAAAAGTATGTTACAATTTTAGGACTACTGGAACGAGGCTCTCTTTTTACTGTTCTACATTTAAGCTTACTTTTATGCTAATTAAATGCTCTAAACATTTCGACACGTATTGTAAGTCTAGTCATGAATGATCAACCATTGCATTTATCTATTCTACCATAGATATTTTACTGAGAATTATACACAGGTTGCTCGCAAGATTTTGAGCCATTCTCACCATCCTACTTATGGGTAATTTCAATTTTTATCACACATTTCGCTAAGCCAGAAGCAAGTGTTGATCACTTTTACTCATATGATTACTACCCTTTCTCTGATTATACCACTACAGCTATTCTATGGCTATAGTTGGGATTCATTTAACCAATATGGCCTATTCATTACTAGTCAGTAATGCTTTAAAGCCTCATTTTTACTATTCCAATGTCTCTGCTACCTTGGATGAATTTCACAAAGTCTACTGTGAGTATTGACTATTTCTTTATTTTTTTCTACATTACTTATTTAGCTAATTACATAGTTACCTATATCAGTATACTACATACGGTGCACCGAGTTTTCTTGAAACGGAAATGAATTTGCTTATTTAAGGTAAATAACTTGAGTTAACATTTGATGTCTTTTACTTTCAGGCTATTTGATAGTTGAATTTGATTCCTTCTGGAGATCAGAAAAACCTGAAAATATTTTAATATTTAATGAAATTAAAGAGAAATTTCGCTTAAAAACACTTCAGAAATTAAAAACTTTACGAGTTCTAAGATCATTTGAATTAATGTAAGGAAATAGCTATATCAATAATTGGTTATATATACAATAATTTTCTTCAGCGCTTTCACTTAAGAAATCAAAGTTTAGATTATCGATTTTACTGCTGAGAAATATTTTATTTTTTTCTCTTCGAATATAAAATTGCTGTAAGGGTTCACAATAGTATCTAATAACTAGATGATATATTAATACGATGGCATTTTTGCACTTATTTAACACAGTTAAAATCTACTCTACTTACTGGATTACAATTGCGTGCTTTAATTTCCTTTGTGTAAAGCGTACTGTCATTTGAAATTAAACTCTTTATTTTCATTTGCAATATTATGACATTTACCAAATACGAGTATAATCAAGGTATTTGAAATGTAAATTTACTATTTGTTCTGAATATATTACTCGTTCATTATACTTTCTAAGCTGTAACAATGATTTGATTTATCTACAGTAAAACATTTTGGCCCTTATTTACATTCACTTTGGTAAAATGTTTCTCTTAAACATCACCTGACTTTTAACTAGAATTCTTCGTGGTTACAAGATTACTGTGTAAAATTATATTGCATTCAATTGCTTCAAAGCCATTTTATGATGATATGTTTTATTAAATAGCGCATAGATCTTATCGTAATTGCGAAATATAAATAAAAGGATTTCGATCCGTTACTCTAAATGGTTTATTCATCCTTCGTAATTATGATATCTAATGTACTAATTGATAATGAGCATGATAATATAATTTTTTGATCGCATTGAACGGCCGTTTCAGTTTTAAAAACAACGCCAGCTTGATGCCAAAAACTCTAATAATACAGCAAATGATACAAGCAACTTTCATTAAACCGACATCATGAGATTAGCGAGGAAATTAATTTCAAAGATGTTCTAGCTTCACTTACCGTTTCGTAGGCATTAGGTCCAGTTGATATTTTATGAGTATCATCCAAGTCCAATACGAACCAATATACGACAGCAGTAAGGTTACCAGATTTAATCATATTTACAGGTACAACGGACTTTTGTACCAACATTTTCATTGTATCCTTTTCATAAGAAATTTTAGCATATTTCGCATTAATCAATACGATAATAGCATAAAGACTTCACAACACATCAAATTGGAACAGCTAACCATCATTTATACCTCACAATTCAAATCGATAGTAAGAATTTTAAATGGTAAACTTAGTCTTTCATGTGGCAAGTTGGCGAGATCAATATCAATGTGGGTTATGACCTGGGGTAGTTCAAATCAAACTTTTAATCGCATAATTGAAATCGAATAGGTTGTATTAATAATGAATATCAAATATTCAGTTCTTACACGATATTCATTAATAAAGTCTTTAATTCGAAATCCAAGAGTGTTGTTATCATCTAATACCAAACATTTCGATCTCAAAGGCAACGATGAGATGCACAAGCCATATACCGTAATTTTATTAGGAATGACGAATCTCTTTCTTTGAGATTCAATTTGCCTAGTAGTAAACGTTAGTATTTGTATAATTTGACTTGTATATTTTTTACAATTTGATCAAATACGTTAAGATATCTCTATATACCTTGCTAAGTGAATATCTTCTAAAATTTGTTCTTTTAGTACGCCAGATGGCTCAACAATTTCACTTAAAAGGATATCCCACTCAAAATGTTTTATATCTGTAACAGGAAGAATATTTAAATCATTTCTAATTTATCTGCCGTATATTACATACAGGATAAAGAAAAGTAATTCATTTAAAATTATTTTACCCCAGCTTCTTTATCATAATCATTACCTTGTTCGAAATCTCCACAACCTGGACTAATTTTACTTTTAATATCGTTATACTCAATTATTCTACTATATAATTGTTCGAAATCATTTGGTGGATCAACAATCATTACTTCAGCACCTATCGTATAAATTTGAAAAGGAATGTATCATACAACAAATTATTATGATACAAGTGTAAAAATACAAATCAGAAATAAATCTACAATTGGTAAACCTTGTTGAGCTGCTAGAATGCCAATCAAAGATACACCTTGCATTAAATCCATAACTTTAATAGTTGAATCATTGCCTTCTGATTGTTTCATTAACGCCATCTTTTGTATCAAGTCTTTAATAGCGAATGAAAACCGAGAATGATAAACACTATCATTCAACCGGCATAATTCTCTTCTGTCAATATAATGTTCAAAGAGCTCGCTAGCTGGGCCATGAAAGAATGCAGATTGATTAGGTAACCGAATCGTGTTACAGTTAAGCTGCTTATTATATACATAAATATTTTCAACTTCTAAATCGACATATTTAGGTGTACACTGGATAGAGATCTCAACCATATCTTGTGATTGCATTGTTAGCAATTTATCAATCTCAGTTTGATTGACATTGCCGTCAACCACACTAGCGGTATAGATTTTATCCATCAAAGAACTTGAATTGATTGGATAAATTGCTTGTTCCCAGCTGAGATTGCTACCAGGCGATGTTGTAAAAGCAATCTTATCATCTAGTTGTAGATTAAACCACATGGCAATAGCATCAATTCGCCCAGTTTGTACACAATCTAGTTTTAATTTGAATTTCTTATTAAGGTACATTGGAGGATGAAGAATCTAAAAGTAATCCATATGATGGAAAGGATTAGGTATAAAGACAAGAAAAGATATGGTTTATTTTTTCTAATTAGCGCAAGACCTACATGTGGATAGTTAAAGTCGAGATGTAATATACTGCAGACATCGGTTAAATATTTGCAACCACCAGGAAGAAATGCCAGACGTTCAGTTGTGTAAGGTTCTGCCATGTAATCGTCGACTTTATTGATAGCCATATTTTCACTATTACCAATCAAGCGTAACTTGCTTACATCCAATCCCTGAATATTGCTGTGTAATAATCTATCATATCATAATAAAGAAAAGGCACACCAAAATTAGATGATGAATCGAGTGTATTGTTGAACAGTGAGATAAAATACTTTACCTACTCTCCCGACGAATATATTCGCACTCAATGGCACAAATATAAATGGTTACTCCGGCAGGAATGACTTTGCCAACTGGATGATTTTTCTTATTATCAATATGGCTGGTAAAAATGGAATATAGTGCTAGCAATGTAGTCATAGTTACAATTGATAGTAGACACCAGTAATAATACTAACTAGATGAAACCTTATTATAATCTATATTAAAAATAGTATACCTTGATAATTGATTGGAGTCGGTAATATTATCATCTTGAACAGGTGCGGTATTTACTGTTAATAAATCTCGCCAGGCATGTTGAATGAATTTAATAATGCCTTCTCCCAAGACACCAGAGTCTAAAGTTTCAGTAACTACTAAAGATACCCTAAAAATAAGTATACAATCATAATAAATTAATTACTTTCTAGTCTTTGCCTACTTGATGATTGTACAGATGGCGATTCATCTTAAAATTGATTTACATTCAGTACGCGTATATTACACGACGATCGAATTGAAGCCATTTGACATGTATACCTATCAGGAATATCTTCTGGTATCATTAAATTAGTCGATTTAGCTTTAATTAATTTAACATTCTTGTCCATACAATTATCGAGGAGGACTTGTTTGGAAATATCATGCCATACATCGGACATTTCACATGCATATACATCTTTAGCACCCGCTTTGACTGCCAGCATACTGTTGAAAGATAAAAAAGAAGATAACAATACGCGTATTATTCACTGTGGTGGAATAGGAAAAGATTGGCATGATTCTCATTTTAAAATTTTACTCAGTTAAACATAATGATATGATGAAAATTTTCAGATAGCATGCTTTAGTTAAGTCTGTCCATGATTTTTGATTTTAATTTGTACCTTAAAATACCGCTTCCACTGCCAATATCTAATACACTAGCACGAGCATCGCTAGCGATTGCACGATCGATTGCATCGCGATAACTTGAATTGCGAGTAATATCATTTAGCATACAGAAATGCCATCGTTCGACTAATAAATTAGAAATGTTTTGTAGATTTTCGGTAGCTCGAGCAAGTTGTGGATTAATTTGTAAAGCTTTATGGAAATACTGGATAGCTGAATTTCGATGGCCAAACTTGAACAGTTTAGCACCAATATTGTTGTAAATCTCTTCACAATCAGGTAAAGCTTGTCGAGCATTTTCATAACAATTGAACATATCATCAATTTTACCTAATGCTTCCAATTCATCGCACCATTTACGGCATACTATAATAAAATGGCTACGAATTGAATCTCTACAATTAGGTTGAAGTTGCAATGCAAGTAAGTAATAGGCAAAAGCACGACCATAATTCTCCTTTGCAGCACAACTGTTTGCAGCATGAATAGCTTTCAATGCTAGATGGATTTTATGATCCATGTCATCGCTTCCCTCTTCGTCTTCTTCAATGTCTGTATCATTTGATTGACAATCATCCGATGTGTCATCACTTGAGCTTTCATCTTCATCATCATCACTGATGCTGTTATGAAGATTTGCATCCATGATTTGATCAATCGATGGTAAACAATTGCTGGAAATTGCAATGGATCTACTACGGTAGTCAAGGTTGGAACTCAGGTTAACGTAGTCTTTGAGCTATTGAAATCAGCTCGTTCCATTCACTTTAATTGGTAATTAGGTTGACTTTATAGCAATGACTCTAATATCATGCCCAAGCTACCATACTTTCCCTATTTTTCCTATCTTGATGAGAAAACGACGACTCTTGCGTTCGATATAGCAGTTAGCCATTTAATCGATCGAGCAATAACAACCCTTCATTCCTACTTAGCTCATTTGATAGTACAGAACTCAATAGTAGCCATTCCTATGCGCAGGCAGTCTTGTTTAGCGCATTACCCTTTAGTACACCGTCTTTTCCTGCATTTGTATAGTACAGTATTGAAGACTATACAGTACCGTACAGTCTACAGTACCGTACAGTCTACAGTACAGTACTGTACAGTACAGTACTCAGTGTACTGTACTGTATCACTCTCTCTCTCTCGGATGGACGGAAGGTTCGGATCAACTAGGAGTTATGGGACTGTGAACGCCGAAAAATGGCTACTTACTATGGTATGGATCTTCCGTATCTGTTTTCTAAATCACTAGTACTAATTTAAATAACATTGACGATCTTATAGAACTTTTTACAAGCAGAAATTTAGCTTAATAAATGATAATATTCAATATGATGTTATTTCATTGGAAAAAAATCTGTCAATTTAGAGTCGACCTTCTACATACTTGAGTATTGACTACTCCATCAAAATTATACGCCTGTTGCATAAAAGTTGTCACCCCTAGCCTAAAAAGACTTGATGTCATACAGTACGAACGGGGGAAGGGATGACAATTTCTATGCACGGCGTACAATCTTGATTGAGTTGTCCCTGCTTAAGGTACTGTACTGTCAGAATCTAGTGTTTGGCACAATATTTGGATGAGTTGAGGCCGGAAACGTCTGTCCGTCCTGGAGTGATCAGTGCACTGTGGACATGATTGCTAGTTCTCTTTGGGGGATTAATTTGCATTTTGTTGCTATATACTGTATTATTTTTAAGAATTAATTACTGATTTGCCACTGTACAGTATATTTAACTTTGATCTATCTTTTCGCATACTGTATATTAATTCGTTAAGCATTGGATACTACAGTACCGAGCTTTTACAGTAGCTGCTAGACTTGGAGAAATGCATGAGTGGCAGTAATGGCTACTGTCTATCTTAACCTGAATTTTTACATGCTCAACTACTGTCCTGTATAGTATAGTAATGAGTAGTCACCGATTTCTTCAGGTCGATGAGCTATTGCAAAGCTTGATACTGTACTAACGCAAAGAGTAATGCTGGTGAAACATGATTGTAAACCTTTATAACACACGTCCCTTTGCTAGCCTTGTTGAAGCACTACTGTTCATGTAGTTGCTAACGTAGAGTATATGGTGAACATGGACAGGAACATAGGCACTTGGGGAGTAGTCACGAGTCATTTCTGCAAGTTTATCCACTACTGCAAAGCTTGGAACTGTTCAAATGCAAACAGTAAAGTGCTGATGAAACATGATTGTAAACCTTGACAACAAACCTGCCTAAGTTAGCCTTGTTGAAGCATTACTGTTCATTTCCATGCTAACGTCTATCTTAAAGTACAGAGAGCTCGACAGTAGTCAGTCGTCATGGATTTCTCCATGTCTCTCTCTTCTAAGGCAACCAGTAGGGCTGTTGCAACATCATCAGTGACATTTTGATGGAATATGTCCTACTTGGTTAGAAATGTAAACCTACCATTGCTAGCCCTGTTGAAGCACTACTGTTCATTTCCATGCTAACGTCTATCTTAAGGTACAGAGAGCTCGACAGCAGTCAATCGTCATGGATTTCTCCATGTCTCTCTCTTCTAAGGCAACCAGTAGGGCTGTTGCAACATCATCTGTGATATTTTGATGGAATATGTCCTACTTGGTTAGAAATGTAAACCTACCAATAGTGAGTGTTCATTTCCATGCTAACGTCTATCTTAAAGGTACAGAGAGCTCGACAGCAGTCAATCGTCATGGATTTCTCCATGTCTCTCTCTTCTAAGGCAACCAGTAGGGCTGTTGCAACATCATCTGTGATATTTTGATGGAATATGTCCTACTTGGTTAGAAATGTAAACCTACCAATAGTGAGTGTTCATTTCCATGCTAACGTCTATCTTAAACGTACAGAGAGCTCGACAGTAGTCAATCGTCATGGATTCCTCCATGTCTCTCTCTTCTAAGGCAACCAGTAGGGCTGTTGCAACATCATCTGTGATATTTTGATGGAATATGTCCTACTTGGTTAGAAATGTAAACCTACCAATAGTGAGTGTTCATTTCCATGCTAACGTCTATCTTAAAGGTACAGAGAGCTCGACAGTAGTCAATCGTCATGGATTCCTCCATGTCTCTCTCTTCTAAGGCAACCAGTAGGGCTGTTGCAACATCATCTGCGACATTTTGATGGAATATGTCCTACTTGGTCGGAAATGCTTGTTGGTTATTAAATAGTAGTAGCGATACCAAAATATCATTAGCAAATGTTGAATAGAGATACTTCAACATGATCTACTAGACTGCATGGATAGATAGATAGATAGAGTGTTAATCTGGAGGAAAGGGATAAAATCAATCAACCTACGGAAAGGAGTCGCATGACTAGCCAAACCATGTTAACCATCTACCGGTCACGATAGAAGAGTGCAGTATAAGGCTGAACGCGTGTTATCGACTCAGACCAGTCATTACACCGGTAATCGGAGCTCTTTCAGCCAACACGATATTAGACTCAGCATCGAGCAGCCGCCTGAGAGACGATCTTGTAGCATGGACACTAGAACATCGATGAGAACTTTTCCAAGTTGGATTTGATTTATTAAGATTTAGTGGATCAATCAAGTCAGGAGAATAATGCTAAAGAGTCGCACTTTTGTTAAAAAAACTCGTAAAGGAGGTGTAGTCAAGGTTGTTCAAGAGCATTACCTACGAGATGATGTCTGGTGTGGGGTGATTGGATGCTCATCGTGTAATACTACTCAAGCCGTGCTCGATCCTCAATGCCTTAATGTTCAATCCAATTTATGCCCAAAGAGTCATTTTATAATTCCAGACACCAATGTAGTCTGCAAGCAGGTAAGGGATCATGGATAACTGGATAGGAATGACAAGGTCGAGAATGATGAACATTTTAGTGTCGTTTGTAACGATAGTGATAACACTGGTCTTGCTAAAGCTACGAGCGGATGCTGTAGAAGGCCGAGATAGGATCGAGTTTTCTACACTCGTTAACACATTGCAATATTGCTCAGGACTTTAATGTGAATAATTAATATGTGTATGGATAGGTGTTGATTCTCCTTGTCTTTGCTACATTTAGATCAGTGTTCCGTTGCACAATATTACAATAAGATGCCAATATCAGTAATTTGCCACTCATCCACTTTGCTCGTACTATAAAACCGTTCTATTTCCACCGTGCATAATTTATCAATAAATCACCAATACAGAACTGACTACCTTCTTCTGGCTTATTTATTACATCATCCCTATCTAGATTGATATCCTGGAAGAAAATTGCATTAAACATGCTATTTTCTTACAAACTGTCTTGCAGGAGGTTAGTACCTTTCTAATAAATAAGTCACTCCAGATGTAATCTGGGCATCAGTCTGAAATATGTAGGATATTCAGAATAAAAAATGATAACATGTATTACGATACTAGGTAAAACATTTAAGTGCAAGTACCTATAGAAGGATTCGCGATGCAATAGCAAATCCGGAAAAGAAATTCTACGTCTTCTCGAATGAACATCATAAGTAAAATTGGATGCCTTTATAATAATACTCATTATAATCTATCTAGTTAATGCAAGAATCATGAAGAAACTGTGGCGTTTGACATTGATTTTCACGCAAAGTTATTCTCTTTCGTTATGCCAAAATATTAGGAAAACATACATTGAGAGAGGAAAAGATGAATCACCCAATGATAGAAATGATAGAGCTATCCGAGTTGCAGCAAAGTAAGTTATACTCGCCAGCTCTGGAAGAGGGTAAAAACAGATCTATCAAGTTGTACTAATGATTGCCTGATGTAAAATCCATTCTTTAGATGGTATCAAAAACATATGCAAGATAACTGCTTTCAAACTGACATAGTTTTACTCACAAATGACGTTGAAAATAAAGAAAAAGCTGTTCAAGATAATTTAACTACATATACAAGTAGGCAGACAGATACTAACAAGAGTTGATACTAGATACTTTATACATGGTGAATAAACTGGCAATAAAATATCTCTTGCTATGTAGTGTACGAATACGTTATGGCTTTAACGGACAGTCCTGAACTTATGGATAAATTATCAGGAGACTTTGAGGATGATGAGGTCATCTTGATTCCTAAACTGTTGGATTTGTGGATCTTTCCATGTCATGTTCTTGTTTTACAAGTTCTATTCATTTAATATAGGATGGCCTAGCAAAGAAAAATCAAATTGTTTTCGCTGAATATTTACCGCTTTCGAAGATACAAAGTGCTATTAAAGCTGGACGACTGATACAGGTATAGATGAAACCTCGTTTTCATTGACTAGGCTCTCTCCTAGCTTTTAATATAGATTTACTTTATGCTATCAAATCTAGGGAACTTTTCAAAGCAGCCGGTAGGCAATATAGACAAAACAAAATGCAATTATGCTGTAGTGTACATGCCATTAATGACACTACCGTTCTTGGTGTTGCTATAGGGATAACTATAAGGAAGGTTTCGTGAGAGTACATGGAGAAGAACAAGATGTAATCAGTTCTTGATAACATTAAAAATAAGAGTATGATGGATATTATTAGTATCTAACTGTGATACTTTCTTTAAAGATTTTTATTAAAGATTTAGATAGTATAAATCGTGCAATTCAAGACGACGTTGTAGCCGTTGAAATGTTACCGAAGCAAGAGTGGACGAAACCATCTGGACTAGTCTGTCGAGATGTAGAAAATAATGAAAATGATAATGCTGAAACCGCAGGCTTAGAGGTTATATGAACTGCCGTTTCTTGTAAGCATTTAGTATCAACAATTGGTGATTGATGTAATTTTTAATTACTAATTTCTAGAATACTGCTCGTGAAGAAAAGCTCGAAAATTATATAGCTGACGCTTTGCCATCTGGCAAAGTTGTAGGAATTATTAAGCGAAATTGGAGACCATACTGTGGCATCTTGTTACCAAATCCAAATCCAAACGCTAGACGGTTTTTGTTTAGAGCTGCTGACCGCAGAATTCCACGGATTAGAATATTAACGAGGCAATCGAGTAATTTACTTGGTCAAAGAATTATAGTCAGTGTTGACGCTTGGCAACGAAAGAGGAGATATCCCGAGGTGACTTGATCCATCAGAATCAGTTCTTGTTTTACATTGACACATAACTCTAAAACTCATTACTTTATCTACGGGGTATTTCAATACATAGGGACACTTTGTTCGTAGGCTAGGCCCTATTGGAGATAAAGAAACCGAAAGTGAAGTACTACTAATAGAACATAACGTTCCCTATCAACAGTTTTCACAAGCTGTACTTAACGATCTACCAACGTTACCTTGGGAAATTACTGATGATGTAGGTCTTCGTGCCTTTGCACTTGTTTATGACTTATGCAATATAATATTGTCAGAATTGATTGTTATTAGCCGTCTAATCGTAGTTTCTTTCTCAGGATGCCAAGCAAAGAGAAGATTTAAGACATTTAACCATATGTAGTATTGATCCTCCAGGATGTACAGATATTGATGACGCACTACATTTGACAGCTCTAGAAAATGGAAATTATGAGGTCAGATTGACTGTTCATTCATTTTTCTCTACTTTTTCCGGCTTATATTAGGTGCTTATTGAAAGTTCTCAAGTACTTTCTAATATATACGTTATACCTACTTCAGGTTGGTGTACATATTGCAGACGTTTCCCATTTTATTAGGCCTGGCACCGCTATAGATATAGAAGCTGCAAATAGAGGAACGACGGTCTATTTAGCCGAAAAGGTAATCATATAAAGTATTATGAGAGCTTGAAGATACTCCTACACCAGCTTGCTTTTGTTGAATTTCATAAATTTTAACATATGCTTTCAAAACATTTAATTTACAGCGAATTGATATGGTCCCTGAACTTTTAAGTTCCAATTTGTGTTCTTTGCGATCGAACGTAGATAGGTATCACATATATCGTTTGGCCACTTCGGTTATGCACAGCATCTAATTAATTCACTAAAAATTCCATTTAACCTAAATTATATATTAGTTAGCTAAATGATATGTGAATTTCTAGTTTGCATAACATAAATTTCTCTTTATTACAGGTTTGCATTTTCTTGCATTTGGGAGTTAAGTCCAGATGCAGATGTGATAGCAGCCAGATTTACGAAAAGCATAATCAAATCTCAGGTATGTTGCCTGTTTTGTTAATACCCTAATTAACAGTAATTTAGTAATGGTGTGCTTCAAAATAGGCTGCGTTTACTTATGCTGAAGCACAACTGATTATTGATGATAAACAAAGAAATGATGATATTGCAATCAGCCTTCGATCACTGAATGTACTCGCTCAAGCGTTAAATAAAAAAAGATTAGATCAAGGGTATGGTACTGAATCGATAAATCTGTCATCTTGCCATTGATATGTTCCTAAAATTGAATTAATTTAAATTTCTTTTACTCTAATTTTACTATTAGGGCTCTGTCTTTGGCTTCACCTGAAATTCGGTTTCAGGTCGATAGTGAAACTCATGATCCCCTAGAATTAGTCAAGAAAGAATTACGGTAATTATTTTGGTTTACAATAGTTTGTATCCAAGTTACACGATATTAATTAGAATATAATACTGTATCTTATAGAGAAACCAACTCTCTCGTCGAAGAATTTATGTTACTAGCAAATATAACGGTTGCAGAAAGGATTTATGAAATTTTTCCTCAGTGTGCATTACTTAGAAGACATCCATCTCCTCCTCTTTCGAACTTCGATATTTTATTAAAGAGTGCAGCTGTTAAGGTAACTGGTAGCACAATGCGTGGGAATATATTTTTAACACTTGAACTGTTTTACTTGCTTGTAAGATTTTTACATGTAATGATGTGCTTTAACTTTTCTCGAACTTAATATTTATAACTCAGAATATCCAATTGCAAGTTGATTCCGCCAAAATGCTGTCAACATCTTTAGCGCAAGCTGACCTGCAAGATAATCCATATTTCAATACGCTGTTAAGAATTTTGGTAACTAGGTGTATGATGCAAGCAGTTTATTTCTGCTCTGGAACTTTAGCCTATCAAGATTATTGTCATTATGGTTTGGCTACACCAATATATACTCATTTTACGTCGCCAATCAGAAGGTGATATTTCTTTAAGAGATTATTACGCAATTATTTACTATACCATTTATGTTATGGTATCGGCGATAAGGTGTTTATAAGTAGTTGTCATTCTAATTAATTGACAATAATTATACAATTACTTGTTAGGTATTCGGATATTATTGTGCATCGGTTATTAGCTATTTCAATAGGAGCGGATAAAACGTATCCTGATCTTATGAAGAAAGATAAAGTGCAGGTGGTACTATCACATTTTTTCATTGTAATTGTGAAAACATACCGTTGCAGGTATTTTGGAACCATACTAAGATATCGAATAACACTTTAGGAACTTTGCAACCATTTAAATTTCCGTCATAAAATGGCGCAATATGCTCAACGATCATCAGTATCACTTTATGCCCAGGTAACTATGATCTTATTTTTCATGAATTAGATTTGAAATTTTTCAGTTTGTTTTAGGCATTTCTTGTGTTGCTTTCGTCATGAAGCTATTTTTCCGAAATCGCGTCACGAAAGAAGAAGGATATATATTATTCGTACGTAAAAATGCTATTCAAGTGTTAATTCCAAAGTATGGAATCGAAAATACGATCTTTCTTAGATCAGCTGATGGATCAGAATTGCCTTTTATACATGATGAGGTACCTGTAATCAAGTTAAAGTGATCATACTAGTAATTTCTGTTTGTTTTGAGGCCTACCATTAATTTATTATCGAAAACATTTTCAAAATATTTTAGCAAAATTTGAGCCTAACGTACCAGGACATCACTTTACAAGTCTTCGATCGAGTACTAGTGGAAATTGCTGTCGAGCATAATGAAATTCAAGGATCGAAAATTCGATTACAGTTACTAGAGCCTCAAGTATGTTCTTTTTCAGTTTGACGTCGAATAGATCATGTTTTTTTTTCTAAATCTTATGGGATAAGTATCTGTATTTTATTGAAGGGCTTTATTTACTTCCTTGTTTACTGAACATGATACTTATCTAGTTGTAGCCCTCCAGTCACTTAATTTAATAATGGTATCTTTTAATTGCATAATCGAACCTACTATATATTATATTAGATTACAGGCTGTCTGTTGTCCTTGGCAAATTCATCCGGACCGCCAGTAAAACGTATCAAACGATTTTAATAGTTTTATATCTTGTTATCACCGATACATGATATCGATTACTGTAATATTTATTTTTTCTTGATTATATAGAAAAAATATCTTTAAAATCTTATTCACCTTCATAATGATTTAACGAAACTACCATGGCTACACTTACGTATCAAGCTCTATTGCCACTGATATGTGTTAATATCTGTTGTTTTAGATTCTTGATAATTTTGTCTAATAGTATAATTATTATCGCTTGATCTATCGTCAGTAAAATTTATCAGGGTCGGATAATCTTTATACTAGAATAAACCGCGAACTTTATTGAAACATGTAGATTATCTGTTATTAGTCTTATTTAAATTGAAGTATAAATATTGTACCATACGATAATGCATAACATTGCCATCTACAGGGACTATAAAATGCAGTACTAAGGCTAGATAACGATGAGCCAGTGACCATGCAATACGTTATATATCTAGTATAATCCATGTGTTTTGTGATTTACGATTTACTCGTACAATTGAGATGAACAACGTTTTAACAATTCATTAATATAAAAATGCAATGAATAGCAAAGATAATAATGAGTTATTAGCAGTGATATGTGATGCGCTCACACAATTTACTACGTACGCTTGGTCGACGCTGTTTTGTGCTAGCGTAGAAGAATTGGTTGATTCGACTTCATGCAGAAGTCTATTATCTACACGTCTAGGCAATTATGGCTTATTCCAATTAAGGTGCAGTTAGTAGAAATCCCAAAGTGCGACTAACAGTAATTTCCAAATGTGTAATTGTCTGCAATTTGAATTATATAGGTATTGAAAATAATATAACTTGAATTGATCACAGCAGTCGTCGTGACTGTACCCTATGTTGAAAGTTTGAAAGAAAAAAACTGGCTTCCCTAGGGCGTATTAAATATGTTAATGAGAAGTTTTTATTTCCCAAAGGATTTTCTTTATTTAAAGCACAATATGCGTGATATCAGGGAGCTTCGATGCAGATGTTGTAGCTGTTCAGTGGTTCATTCGATCGCAAATTTTTCTTACTCTTTCATGAACGTACTTTTCGATTTTCCATACAGGATCTCACAAACTAGCTTATTATTAACCGTCAATCCGGAGGTGGGCATTTTAGATAATTTGTAACTTTTAATTTTCCTTAAAGTTGATTAATTTTAAGCTACGAAACACTGCATAACTTATTTCTTATTAGTCGTGTATGCATCGGGGATATAATACGAGTACGTGCTATTCCATGCTGAAATGAAAATACAAAAATCATACCAATCTTATCTTCCACGTATCAGTACAACAACGCAGATAAACATATTTCAACATTTTGTTATATAAATTAATGCAGGACTTTATTAAAAGAATGCTCAGCTAATATCTTAAACAATTTATAATTAATTGATTAATATTCTAGCTGTTGCTATCCATTTTTCATGAAGGGAAGGAATCAGATAATACGCGTAGATAGGATGATTACACAATAATCAAGAAAGTTATCTACGAATACAACCTTGCAAGGGTTTTTTTTTTGGTTACGTGTAATATATGTACTAGGTTACGTTATTAAAGTACCAATTGAATATGATGCATAACATGTGAAATAACCATACATAATTAGTACTAATACAATGCCAAAAACCAAAGACAGGAAATAGCTATAACCAATTAAACTACCAAATGGAACGAATTAAATAGAAAACCAATATTCCAAACAAAAGGTACCACTTGGCTTTCTGATATTGAAGCACTATCCTTGTTTTTCCTGTTCAATGGCTTAATAATTATATTCAAGGCAAGTTAGGTCTCAATGTTATCATAAAATTCTATTAGTCTATCAACAATTTTATTATCACTAGATAAAAACAAGCAGCTATGACATTCCACTCGACTATCCGTACGATTAGTTGCAATTTGAAATACGAGATGATTTATTGTCTCATTTTACTAGACTCCCGAAAGTAAAATTTTTTTTATATAATTTAAGGAATAGTCTTGCGATAGCATTTTGCAATCAAGTTGGCTTAGTTATATCAATAACGAAGGAGAAAATACTTTTACATGTAGATTAGTGTTCCACTGTACAGTTACAACTCAAGGTAAGCTGATGGCATCCAATAATTCTTAATTCTTATCGTGATGTTACTTTTATGTACAATGTGGTCAACTATTAAATAATAGTTTTTTTATTCATTTATTTTTCACAGAAAAGAAAAAAAACTAGCTTTAGGTGTATCCAACTAATTAGTGTTGATTTAATTAAATTGGAGTAAAGTCTACGTGATGGTGTAATATCTCAAAATAAAAAAAATCAATGATGTCCATCGATTGTGATTGGCTATGGACTATCTTAATTAATGGATCGAATACGAGAGCAATATCCGTACGAAGTTTAATCTATGTTTGGGAGTGGAGAATGGACTACTAGTCAACTTACTTTGCTTCGTAGGCAGTGTATTCTTTTCCTGGGGCGTTACTTTTTTCAGTTTGCTTTTATCAAACTCTGCAACTTCACTGAGGTCTCCTTTACCTATAGGAATAGAAGTACCCATAAAATGTGTTATGAGGTATTTCAAGTTAGCGAAGATTGTCAATAAATAGATTCACTAAAAAAAAAATCTTCCGCAAAGCCACAAATCAACACTATCGGCAATCCCCGTAAAATTCATAAGATGAGCGACATCAATAAAATTGAAACAGTGAAAACTTCAATTTACTTATTTTCCAATCACAAAAATTGAAGAAAGTAGAGCGACTATCTTTTCTTCTTATCTAGTTCATTCATTTTAAGCCATGAAAAGTACGATACTAGAATTAGTATTTGGCTAACCTGTACTACCACCTAACTTCTTTGGATCCGACATTTTCTGATTTTCTCTTATTGGCAAGTGAAATCTTTTTCAAAGGTCGCAAGCTTATAAGTACGCGTACAATAGCCCAGCTATGCTATTTATTGAGTTGAATTGAAGCTTAACTTAATTAATGTAACTTAATAATACTCCTATACATCAGTTTATTGGCTCTTTCTATTGTTGAAATCCACGTAAGGGTTCTTTCATCTAAACAATGCAACGCAATGGTAAACAAGAAATTTAAAACATCAGGAAGAAAATCGTCATCTATTTATACAGAACAGGACAAGGTTGTATTTATACACGATCGTATTGTACTATAGAGTAAGTAATCTTGCCTCGATGAGATGATTTTAATCTTTATGAAATTATCTTTCATCTTATCTACATTAGAATAGAATTGTACGGAAACTGATGTTGTCCAAGTTGGCATACTGAAGATACAGAGTTTCTTCTTGGCGTTGCAACATAAATAAAATTGTTTATTGTTGTTGATGAAGATGAATCAGAATCTACATTCTGCAGTAAATTAAGACTGCTGTTTTGCTGATTACATCGATGGGTGGTTGGTTAGACTAGTTATAATGAACAAGTTGAAGAATTTCAGTCATTACCAAGAAAACAATACAATATTGGCAACCTGATGAACGACATAGTTAAACAATGATCCACCTAGCACTGATTATGTATCGAAATCTTTCCATTATCATTTTATTGCAAATCGATTTATCGCTTCTGTAAATATTGGAAGGATTCTGATAAGGAAGATTGATAATGTCGTGGTTGAAGATTCATTCTTGATAAATAAATTATTATTGTCAAGGATAAGCCGAATACCTGTATTACAAGACTACTAATATTGATCTTTAGCGCAGAATTACAAAGTACTTTTTCCTGCGTATGCTATTCATAGATGATCGATGTATCCAGACACCTTTACTGTAATATCTACAGCTTCCGTAAGAAGAAGAGAAACGCTATCGTGCGGTTTTTATTCATGCTATAACATTCATTTTACTATCTCCATTTAATAGGATGTAGATATCCAGACACTGCTACTGTAATTTCTACACCTTGTAAAAGAATAAAAAGTTATCACGCTGTTGTTCAGTATACTGTACAGCATTAATATTATGAAGCTCATTGCTGACAATAGGTGTAGACTAGCGACTTGAATGAGACAATTCTCATGAATAGACAAATGTAGTTATGGATGCTTACCGCATACATGAAATATGCATCGAATTTAATTTTAATTTGTTGTATAGCACTATGTATTCAGTATTCAAATAGGGACGGGACAATGGCGAATACAATTTATTTACATCATTAAACAATAGTTGGCATTCTATAAGAGAAAGTAAAAATATAATTAGTATAAGTCTAACTTTGACTTACAAAAGAATAAAATTTTCTTTTTTCTTTTACAAATTGGGCAACAAGGAATAACTACAAGGTTACGCTGTCATTCATTGCGATGAATGAATAATAATGGCGAAATCTCTTCCTTACTCTTCTAATTCAGATTGACATGGTGGTAACCTCAACAATAAATACTACTGTTATCACTGATAGCGTATTCTATATCTATAATTATTACTGTAATTATCCTTGTCTACCTCCGATAACGCCAGAGTCTACCAGTGTACTAGAATTGATAAATAGGTTATTTAGCCTAGGGTTCATTTAGTTAAAGAGAAAGGTTCAGTCCGCCTTGACTGGCTAAATAAGATGGAAAATATGCAGTAGTTTAATAAGTAATTCATTAGCAAGGAATTTTGCTGGGATCAATCAATGAATTTCAGTCAGAATGAGGTCACCATCATGCATCAATTTAACTGGCATGCATTACCCTTGCGAACTTCATTGAAACATCTCGCATGCTTATTATCATTTTTATTAAGCA